AATTGATCAAAACTATTAAAAGAAACGCACACCAAAAATAGCAATTAATACACTAAAGCAGCGTAAAGCTACAAGAACAAACCTGGAGAAATAATTCTAGAGATTAAAAAAATATCTATCTGTACACATATATAGTTAATAAAAAATGACAGCAACTGGAGTTTAAAAAGTTACTGATCATTCAGAGCAGCAGGTAAAATAAAAATCCCGTTTAAGAGATGAAATGTTTTCTCCAGTTTTAAGGAGAAAATCCTTCCATCAGCTGTTTCCTCCACATTTAAACCATCAAAACACACACAGGGATGAACCCACAGTCCACAGAGACGTCACTGAGTCCAGACCCGGCAGGACTCGGAGGTTCGTTCTGCCTCGGCGGGTCACAACGTACGACTTCACACAAACAAACAGCAACAGGAACCAGAACGGGCTGCTGGCTGTGAAAGGCGGCCGCTCACTCCGTTCAAGTGGAGTCTGGAGGAGACCCGTGTGGGCGGATCAGGTTTAGAAACGGCGCCGATGAACGTGATGAATGTCAGCGTGACTCACTCGTTTCACGGCGCTTGTTCAGAGCGAGCGGCCACGACAGTGATACATGCCGAGACTCTGCTGATGGTTCCGCCGCGTTAATAGACTCTGCAGAGACCTGAAGCTCTGCAGAAACCTGAAGCTCTGCAGAGACCCGAAGACCTGCAGAGACCCGAAGCTCTGCAGAGACCCGAAGACCTGCAGAAACCTGAAGCTCTGCAGAGACCCGAAGCTCTGCAGAGACCTGAAGACCTGCAGAAACCTGAAGCTCTGCAGAGACCCGAAGCTCTGCAGGTCTTCACTTCAGCAGCTGATCTCGTGAACTCGTTTCTCCGCTCGGCTGGAAGGACTGTCATGAGTGAACGAGGGTTTTGCTCTGATTGAAACCGGCGTCACATCGAGCGAACAGGACTTCTGAATTAGTTTTTTTTTACCCTGATGAGGCGCAACAACAGTCCAGAAAGAAATCAGAATTAATAATAATCCCTATAATGAATGAAACTGGTGCAGAATTTGGAAGATCCACGATTGATTTCTTGGGAAACTTCCACATAAATCCTTCTCCTGTGGCCCCTTGTCAAGAGCAGGGTGGTATAGTTTCTTAGTTTTTCTACAGCACGCGTACTTGTTGACGTGTTGAAAGATCTTTTTTTAGTTATAAAGGCAGCAAATATTCAGGCGGTAATCATCACTAAAAAGTAGATCTCTGCTGTTGCACCATACTGAATATTTGCCAGTATTTTCCAACCCTTTCCCGCCAAATACTGATAAATGCACATTTTTACCAATGAGCTGATGATGTGGAATTAAAACACCAACGACAGGTTTAAATATGTGCGTTTATTTTAACGTTTAATCCCCTAAACTTCAAAATAAAAGCACATATTTAAACCTGTTGTTGGTGTTTTAACCCCCTAAACTCTAAAACCCAACGAGGTCACATGTTCTGCAAGAGTTTAGGGGTTAAACCTTTAAATAAAAGGACATATTTAAACCTCCTGAACTCTAAAACCTTCTGACACAATTGCAAAACATGTGACCTCGTTGGGTGTGTGACGGCCTGACCAACACCGTCACCAGATGTTCAGTTACGTTGAGTTGCAGCCATTTAAATCACACACACACATTAAGAACTGGTCCATGAACACTTTGACGACACTGTTTTCTAGATGGAGGCACACATGCAGTTTATATTGTTTGTCATTTTGCTATGAATCCATTTCTCTTTGAGTTACCTGCTGCTGCTGCTGCTGCACTTCCTGGTTGGAGGCTGACAGAAGGCGGGGCTGAGGGCGGAGCATGGCTTTGTTTTGAAGGCGCTGTCCCAGACCAGACCAAGAGCTCTGACATCATGGGGGGGATTTAGGTTTCTTTGTGTTAGTTTTAGTTGTTGCGTATATAGTTTCCCCCCATGCGTTAAACGTGGTCTGATCAGCCGGTATATATGCTGCTAGCTGAGGTAATGTCCAGTTCTGTTAGCCTTATTTTTGAGTAGACTTATATTTTGTTGACCTCTTTTAAAGGGCCCTTCCACTCTGATTGTTGGAGAAAATAAATGCGTCTTTTGTAAACTTTAAACCTGTGTTTTTGTGCTTTGACTGCTCGGTCCACCACACGGTCCTTGAACTCATCACGAATGACGGACAGTTCTTTTAAAAGATGGACCAAAAATCTAAGCGTGAAATCGTGACGTTTGATCAGAATCACTCAATAGATGCTTCGATCACATCCAGTTAAAAACAAAAAAAGATCAGCGCTAACTGCAGGCTGTGGTCAAAGAGAGCAGCTAGAACAGCCAAAGCTGGAGCGCTACCAGTGAAAAGCTTTACCTGGAGCTTTGTATCACGTGAGCGTTAGCTTAGCATAAATCAATGTGTCAGTGTGTCAACCAAGTGTATTGATACCAACCAAGTGGACCAAATGGACCAAATAAACCAAACAGACCAAATAAACCAAACAAACCCAATAAACCAAACGGACCAAATGGACCAAACAGACAAAACAAACCAAATGGACCAAAGGGCCCAAACACAGTTGCTGCTGACTTTGCTGTGTGGTTGTATTTTTTGACAGCAACGAATCAGGAAATGTTGTAGATTCCAGGAAGTCTGAATTAAGCTCAAGCGCTTTTGCAACCTTCTTCCACTCAGAGGTCAACAGACGTCAGAGGTCAAACCACCAAGACGAGCTGAGATCCAGAACGCTGCCCTCAAGAAACGGTCGCTCAAATCATCGACTGTGTGACCGACGCTGTCAGGAGTTCACACAGATGTGTTCTCAGGATGCAACAAAGTCTAATGCAGTTTTAAACTCCTGAGTGTTCCAGGCTGCCATTTTAAAGGCCGCGGTCCAAACAGACGAGCTATCGGGTTTTGTTCTGGTGAGTGTTCGGTGTGGGACTTACCGTGTGAAGTGGTCCACCAGGGCTCCCACCAGCTCGCCCACTCGGTCCTGGTTGGAGCTGAGCTCGCCTCGCTGCAGACACAGCAGGACGTCATCCTGGGAGGACGTGTGCAGCGCCACCATCTGGTCGACGCCGGAGGTCACGCTCACGCCTGTGAACTGTGGACAGAAAAAATATCAGCATCTGTCAGAAAAAAATGGGTAAATGTTTTATTAAAGTGATTTTGCCTGTTTTGAGGTATTACAATTTTTTAAAATTATAGATTTAAAAAAATAAATAAAATTAATTATTAGTTGGTGGTTAAAAACAAAAATAATGTCCACATCAAAAATCAGTATTTTTACAAATATTATTTAACAGCATTTGACTGTAAAATTACACAATTTTTTAAAAACTAATTTTAATTCATCAAAACTACAATTATTTTACAGATGTTTACGGTTATTTAATAAGACAAATATATGAAGCATTTTTAAAAATTGTCAATCACTGTTTTTCCAAATTTTCCCGGTTTTGTAAAACTACAAAAAATATTATCCAGTAAAATCACAGAAATGATGATAAATGTATTTGTTGTCTGTTGACTAAGAAAAACAGCAAAACTGAACAAAATATTCACGTTTTACAAATATAAATGTGCTCTTTTACAGCGTGTGACCACAACATTACAGTTTTTTGCATTTAAATCTTGCAAAAAAATTAAAATCTTGTACAAACTTTTGCTATTTTTTTTCACAGTTTTTAAACATTCTAGTGTTCTGCCGCCACGTTTCCCTTTTTTCTTTTTTTACAGTGTACTTTTACTTCATTAAAGACCCAATTACTTCTCGGTGCCGGTTCAGACTGACGGCTGAGCGACCTGAGATGTTCGGCAGCGCTGGAAATTCATTTATTCCAGAGTGTCAGGGATTATCACAGCGACGTATGACACCTGTGAGTTTAATACGGTACGGCACCGTATATCCTGGATCAGAAATCACGCCACCGAGGATGCCGGCGGGATTATTTCTGCTGCTGAGTGAAAGGAAAGTGGAGAGCCGTGACCCAGTTGGAACAGGTTTAGTGAGACAGGGTGAGAGTGGAAGTGAGACGCAGCATCACACGTGTGGAGAGGAAACCAGAGGAGCAGCGAGGGGAAGGAATCAGCCTCTCAGGGCCTCCAGGACGCTCAGGTTCATCCAGCAGGACAACAGCAGCGAGCTGCTGGACGTCCAGCAGCAGCAGCAGCAGCAGCAGCAGCAGCAGCATCAAGGCCAAACTCTGGAACAAAGCGTCCTGTAGGTGCAGCAGGAAGCTCTGCTGATTCAGCAGCTTTAACGTCTCCAGACACACACAGCGTTCATTATAACGTTAGAATTTATCATCAGGTCTGCTGGTACTCGGCTGCACACGTCGGGCCACATGAGCTAATTAATACAAGATTCAAAGCTGAAATGAATCTTTTTAATCCTCTGGACTCAATTTAACAAAAAAAAGAAAGGGGGGGTTAAATTAATAATATCTAGCAAAAATACAGAAAAAATACATATTAGGATATTTACAGGCCAAAACTGTAAATTATGTCTACATTAAAAGCTGGTATTAAAAAAAAATAAAATAAAAAAATAGTGATAATCATAAAAATAACAATAATCATTTACAGACAAAAACTGTAAATGATGTCT